AGTAGTCTCTTCAACCTACCTACGCAAGGTAGCATCGTTTCAGAGACAGGCGGCGGCACACATGAGGATGTCAAAGCCAGGATCGGAAAGACAGCAAGATAGGCCTTCATTAGTCTGAAATCAGTGTGAAGATCTACTGCACTCCACTCAGCATAAAGAACAAAATCCGGGTTTTCAACATTAATGTCAAGTTTTTGCTTCTGTATAGTTGGGAGACTTAGCGCGTTACGAAAAGCACTTCCAACAAACTGAAGACATAAATCAACAGCTGCTACCTACGCTCGATGCTGAAGATCAGATTGATAGCCAGAAAGGATAAGTAACAAAGAACTCTGACCGGGCAACGAACCAGTCAAGAACCTATCGCCCAACAAGTATGCAGAATAAGATGGAGGTGGATTGGACATACACTGAGAAGACCGTTTGGAGACATCACGTCCCAGGTCGTCGAGTGGGACCCAAATGAGAAACGATAAGTTGGGCGCCCGAGGGTGACATGAAGGAGATCTTGTGAGAAGGAAATGAAAGTTTATGGGCAGACAGAGAGCCTGGTTAAAAAGACTGGAGAGAACAGAAAGAAATGATGACGTGCTACTGAAGCCCTTTTTTCCAATAGGAACCCAAAGGATAAAAAATAATAATAATAATAATAATAATAATTGCAAGAAACACGTCGGTATATAAGTACATTACGACCTGAGTCCCCACGGTGCCATTACAACCAAGTTAATATGCCTCTGAACGTCTTGGACTGAAATCATGTTTTTATCCGACACGACGGCGTTCAAAAACCATTGTAATCCCCGTATGAATGGCCTTTCAAATTAGTTAAAAAATCACAAAAAATTATCACGGTTAAACACTCTAGCAGACGAGAAACTGTAAGTATTGATAAAATCAAGCCAAAGTTTTTGAACCTCACGCCACTGATCTCAACTCTGAATCTGCAGTAAAGCTGCTGGAAACATCGAAAACTTCCATTAGCAGTGAAACACTGACATCTGAATCACCGACAAGTAGTAATGGTGACAGAAGCACAAGGTTCAGGAGAGGAGTTTGTTGACCTGAAAGTTATATTCAAACAATTTACGTTTGATGAAATCATCACTAGTTGTGAAATTATTGTTGTGCTCATTACCTCACTGATTACATCCTCAGTCATACTTCTACGGTTTTGTTAAACTTTTACAAAATCCTCTTCATATGGCCCCACGGACATCAGAAGATTTCTTTCCAACCTATCGTTCTCACTAACATTCTGAGTATTACAATCCTGAATTTTGCTTACCGGAATACACATTTTCTGTACGGTAAACAGATAACGCATGGTTACTTCTAAAACAGATTCTTTCATACATCTGTATTCTAGGAAGAGTTTTATGTAGCAAGAATTCCATATTTTATTCGTTGACATATTTCACATTGACTCTATAATTTAATACCCTTTTAATCGTTTTAATGTAGCATATACCATCTCCTTTCTGCTGGTTTCCAATTTGTTGGTTTCTTGTCAATACAATATCCCAGTTTATACTTTGTGTTATTTCCTGTTTTCATGCTGTCTGACGCAAGTGGTTCAGCAGTGTTTGGGATACTAAGAAAAGTAACAGTATTTCGGGAAGATTATATAAAGATTGGAGTCAGATATGGGTTTGACAACCCAATCCTATTTAAAATAACATGTCAACTAGAAGTATATGGTGGTTGTCAAATTGAACAAAATAAATCCCATACATCTCAGTGGATAAGTGTTTTCAACCCTCTTGCCTGACTTGTCTTTAATTTCCAAGTGACCTAACCTACTGAAGCAGGAAAAAATAATGAAACAATGAGTATACAAGGCGAATGAAAATGGCAGTTATATCGCACACAGATATACATTCAAGATTTAGCATACGATGTAAAGTAAGGAATCAGCCCACTTCAACCTAAATAAACCGAAATATCCAACTGTCAGTCAATAAACTAATATTTATCAACCTTTCTTATTCAACTATTCATAATTCTATTTAATTATTATTTATTGAGCAACTCCTGATATGCATGACATCATTGGTAGTAATTATTTACTGTCCATTATGTTTAAAAATACTTCGCACCAAAAGTTAACACATAAATATTCGAGTCTTGGAAAGTTATTTCCTCTTCTTATCAGTTTTATGGTTTACATCACTAACTTGGCACGTTTAGACGCAAGAGCTTGAAATTTCATGATGACACTGTTCTCCTCAATATCCAAACCGCAGTCGAATGATCAATAGTCGCCATGTTAATCTGCCTAAATATTGGCTTGGTCAATATAAACCGACTGTAAATTACTCTGGAATCTTCTATCCTTTCTAATATATATTCACGAATGTGCGGCTAACAGAATGACTTCGTTGAAAAGAAATAGGTTTCTTCGCTGCAATCGTCTTCTGTGTTTTCATATGATCAAAGTCAATGAATACGTCTTTTATCAAACCGTGGTCATTCAGTCTAGTGTTTCGGAGTGTTTAATAATTAAATTCAAACTGATCAGACACCAGCAAAATAAAGTTGGAATTTTGTCTAGAATTCCTTATTGCAATAAAGTTTCAAGGAGGTGAATATCTTAGTTCTGTTGAATCATCGGTGAACGTTTCTACCTAGAATTAAACGTATAAATTATCAATTAAACCATCAAATAGACTGTCTTGCTGGGGTCTTTAAAACGCTAAGAAACAATTCTCAGAGAATGTTGATGATATCACTTAAAAACATGCATACGATGTATGAACCACATATCATTCGCAAAATATTGAACATTTTTTATTGTCTTTCATTTATTTATCCTCTCTCCTCTTCTAATATTCCGGTTGCTTCAATACTCATCTTTGCTGATTTATCTTCTTTTTGTTTTATGAAGTTTGTCAGCTTGAAGTGGTGCCATCTGTGTTATAAACCAGAGAAAACTGTACGCCTTTATAGCATAAACTAAAGCTGGTAACTACATACTTTCAGGCCGGTTTCATAGAGGGTGTCGAATCAACTGTTTGAATGTGTGAAAGCAAGAAGCAGTCGTTTAAAATTATCCAAAAACGATACTACTAAAATACCAGGCATATGCTACAAGAAGCCTCAGATACTAGTCTGTAAGTCTGATCATTATCATTGATTAAAAAAGTTATAGAAGGAAAAGGTATCCAGATGTAAAAGTAATTGTTTCCTTCTAGCAAATCATTCAAATTCTACTCTGGAGAAATCCATTCACTAGAAGTTTTTTCTGCTGAACATGTTACAGCAGTTAATACCACTTTCAGATACACCGTTATTGCTTCTTTCCACTCACACAAATTACTGCCTCTGTTTGAATATTTTTAAAATGGATGTTAGGCTAAGCATATTTAAACAAAATTAATTCTGTCGGGGTGAAGGGATCAAAAGCGTTGACTAATTTACTTCAGCTGTGGTATACACACCACTTTGAAGTTGTCACGATCAGATGTCAGTAGGTTTTTGTCTAGCCTGTAGATACTCTGCTCCACGGTGGTGGGTAGCAGAGTGTACATTTAAAGGTGAACTACAAGGATCTGGAGGAGAAAAGACGAAGAGAAAAACGTAAGCCAAGGAATCAGTAAACCCACAAGATGTACTCAGATTTAGTAAAGACAATCGACAAACTGTAGTGCTTGACAACGAAGAGATGAGGGGGTCTAAAAATTGTGACTAGTATGTGGGTGAGTAAGATTTCAGATGCCTTACACTGCTCCTCTCGGTGAAAAACCACTGTCCCAGTGCTTGGCTGTACCTGGGTAGCATAGAGGCTAGGTATGGTTTGTGAAGCTCGTTCGAGTTACATTCAGGGGATGGTTGCTATTGAGTACACGTCGGTCTGACTTTGAGCAAGCCGAATCTCACCTTCGGCACCGAAATGTAACTACCAGCTGTTGATAGGTTTTTGTCTAGACTGTAGGTAAGGTGTTGCAGGGGGCGCATAGAAGTATGAGTTTAAAGGTGACCACAAGAATCTGGAAGAGAGAAGAGGAAGAGAAAAACGTGAGTGGACCACTCAGTGGGCACTGAATTACGTTAGCAACCAACTAGCATTCACCAAGATATAGCGTGTGACCATCAGACCTGCACACTTATCAAATATGGTGTTCAAAGTAGGACTTTACGCTAAGCCTATTATCAAGTGTGAAATTGAAAGTGGATGGTGGGAAAAGCTTTTATGCATAGCTACTTCGGTAATTAAATTAACAGCCATAATGATCCACTTCAATCCGTTTGGGAATGATAATATCATGAAGGTCTAACCTTACCTTAAAGTTTTCAACAAGATTTGAACATACTTCTAATTTTACTCGCCGTTTGTCAAAAGTTTATTTCATTTAAAGGGTGTACGTGTATCAGTGGTCGCCAGTTAACGAATTGAAACTTCGATTCTCTATTCTTTGTAATAGTTACAACAGGTTGATACTACTTTTTCGCGTCATTTTTAATAATGCTAGCGTGACCTCATGTGTGACTTTAAATGCCACCCTGGCAACAAGTGAAATAACTAATCAGACTTCCCTATCTTATGAAAATCTGCCCTTTCAGCCGAAATGAAGGAACCTAATGGGTTATTTCGATCGTTGCTATGGTGGCCTTTAAAGTCGTCCGACTTCATGGGTGACTTTAAGGGCCACCCTGGTTGCTGTAAGGACAGCCAATTAGGTTTCTTTATTTTATAAAAAACTACCCTTATAAACGGAATACTGAAGCCTGATTACTTAATTCTGCAGTTGCTGGGGTGGCCTTTAAAGTCACTCGACCTCATTAGACTTCTAGAAACATAATGGATGCCACCCATGGGCTCAATAAATCAGAAGTCTAGGTAATTTCTGATTGATATAAAACATGTGGTAAAAAAAGTGTTTATCAATAGACCAAAGTCACGTGAACAAATGAAGTTTTTAAAATTATCATTATAGTGAATAATAAACAGTGATAATTCCTAAGACATACTAGATTGTACACGAAAGCGCCAAAAAATTATGCCAAGCAGATCAGCTTCATTGAGTTTGCTTAGAAAATATGAATATATTGCTTCTGGACAAATTGGTTTATGTCGAAAATCTATGCTTACACGTGAAACTCTACAACGTCCTAAACTTGGTGAGCCTTTAACACGTGGACGACCTAAACAACCAAAAGATTTTACTTATGGTAATTTAACTAAGTTGTATCCGAACGAAATCGTTGAATGCTTAACTTGGCCAAGAGATGAAGGCACTAAAACTCATGTTGATTCCAACTGTCTACCTAGAGATTTCCACCGAATCAACATAGAATCCGTTAAAGAAGGCATCCATCTTGTACCTGATTGGATTAGATTTGCAAATGAGAAAGATTATCGTTTGAATCCTACAAAACGTGTATTACGACGCTTAAAAAAGCCTAAATTCCCTCAAGATATGTCTTTTGGTAAACCGTATCGTCCATTGACACCAATGGCTTCTATAATGTCTCATGAGTATAAAACTCTATGGGATCAACAAGCTCTGGAGTAAGTATTTAATATTTTACAGTTTTCACTTTATTTTCAATAAACACTACTTTGCTGAAATATAATTTTTATCTTGAAAACAGTCTATACCCTCACTCACTGGTAGTCATATTGAATGTAAGAATTTGAAAACTTGAGCAGAACCAACCGATAACCCCTATCCCTGTCTCAGATATCACATTAGACTCTAAAATGTAGAGACACACACAAGGTGGTGAATATTAATTACACGAAAGCGTGTATTCGGATGAGTTGAATTATTTCTGACTTCCTTTATTATAAACATTCAATTGTGAATGTGATACTCTCTAATTCTAGTAGTAGCAACTGTACATTGCTAGGCAATAAAGCACTTAAATTTCGTGATGCAGTCGTTTTCTGTAGACCGGTATTAGAGCTTACACAAGTTCATTAATTCAAGTAATAATTTAGTTTGACAATGTGTCGTTCAGTTATCTCTATATGAGTGAAATCAAGTTTTACCACAATCACTGATAGTATAACCTTGTAAATGCATGCATTATTTCAAGATACCGTATTTCACAAAAGCATACAAAAAGAAAAATAAAGTAGACAAAGGTGTATGGGAGGAGAAAGGTCAGTGAAAATATTCAAGGATGAAAAACATTGTGTGCACTTTCACAATTATGGCCGACTATTTCCAAACAATTCAACTCAGAATGTCTGAAAAATCTAATTTTTTTAATCAAGCATTCTTAAAAACTTCGAATTTCCACGGAATTTTTGATTCGGCTAGCGAAAATTTCAGGGTGACTTTAAAGCCACCCTAGCAACAACTGAAATAACTAATTATGTTTCTTCATTTTGGGTGGAAGGGCAGATTTTCATGAAATAGAGAAGTCTAATTGGTTATTTTGGTTGTTGCTAAGGTGGCCTTTGCAATCACCCAACTTTCAGGCTGAATGGATTGTCTACAGCATTACTGTGGGAAATCATTTGTGTACATCGTCAGTTCAGAGCGGTAAATGTCTTCTAGCCATTTCTGCTTCGTCTGCCTTCTTACTAGTGGTTGTGTTGGAATTCACTTATACAGGGTTATGTAGTTAGTTACTGCATTTCTTTCCAACGATGGTGTATTGTTCGCGTCCAGCGCACAACCATGAATCATAACAAGTACCAATTCCCAATGTTGCAGTCCTTGGTCTTTTTAGAAACGAATTGTGCTTGGATGAATTAGTATGATCAGGTTATGTTGAAATTATCTCACTCAGTGTAGTTTCACATTTTTATCGACTGACTTGCTCTCCTTGCCGAGAACTCTACACCTAATTTTAACGTTACCAAAATGGTGATTACATAACGCAAATAATCTTACGAAGACACTCGTTATCGAATACCCTACTTCTTTGTGCTATCCATCCTCAAAGACTATGTCTCACAGATGCTGAGTAGAGCAAAATTAACTGGTTAACAGCAAACAAAATCTGTGATAGGTATTTCAACAGCTTACCAAATAATAAGGTTGACAAATTCCAACAATAGTGATGAGTAATAACTTTATAGTGTTAAATTTATATTGACTTACCATGTACAATAATCAACATCAATATTGGTCGTTCTCTGTTTAGGTCTACCCATGACGCCTATGAATATTTTGCTGATATAATCTTCAGTTGTAAGTTTGATTCTACAGAAAGTTAACAGGGAATTCAGGTTTTAAAAAGTAGTTCATATTATTTCTTGCACTTCGCTTGGTAGGAAACTCTAAATCTCGTTTTTCTGTTTGTTGACACTCAATCATGAGGAGTGATGAATTTTCGGTGATTTGCACCTGCACAACTTAGCGCTACAGTCAGAGACATCTAACACCCAATAAAGTGTTGTATCAGCTAGTTTAGCAGACACACTGAGAAACTTCATTGATAGCCTGTCATCAGTATGAGCCACTAATGACTAGAAAACTTCACTAGTTACTCACGGGTAGCCAACTTTTGTAAATTAAGTTGTTTTTTATGATTTAGATACGATTAGTTCTTGGATGCATATCTCGAATGTGTAAATATCCAACAAGCCCTACATCCTCCGGGTTACAAAACTGCATTTCCCTTACAACAGAGTAAATTTTATACATATAAGGGGGAAATTGCAGAAAAGCGAACACTGATTCATGAATGCAGCTGTCATCTACCTTATTCGAAAATATTAGCAAACTACCGACTGTCACAAGGAGAATCACTTTTAAAGTTCACTGTTCATGATAACATTTCTCACAGCTGTGTAATTTTTGAACTGCTCAACTGTAGTGTTAACCAGGTTTACTTTTGGAAATCACCAGACTAAGATCATACAGACAGATAAGACCAACACACTGCCAGTTATTATTTCCTAACAGTCGGAACTGCTACAACTCATATCAAAATATCAAGCCAGAAAGCAACAAAAAGAAAGACAAAGAAACAGTCGAAAGTGGACATATGCTAACAAGGAGGAATAGGAAATTAGTGAACTGAGCATGACGATTAAGATGTGACGACACATCTGCGCCAATGAGACCGAATCTGAGCTGTGTCAACTATAGTCTCTACCCACTGGGTTGTGTCATCACACGGACCCCAACCGAAAAGTCTACATTTCACTACACAGCTTAGAACAACAGACAAGGATTTCATTCAATGATGCTCATTTTTGGTCTGCAGCACCTAATCTTCTTTCAGCCTGAACTTACTGCACCTAACATTGTGCGACGATGCGGGCAGTGATTCGGCATGCGTAATACATGTCCCAGCCAGCCAAGTCGACGAAAGCTCACAACAGCACTACCTGACCTACCTCTTCACCCTAAAACTCTACACCTACACTACTGACACGGAGATAACACAACACACTGCCTACCCAACAAAGTCAAAGGTGGTCGAATGCGTGAAGCTTTCTCATATCCTCCACTCTTATTGATCATGTTCTAAAGCCATAAGGCAGAACAGAAAGAACTGAAACACAGCTGACTCGCTCCTTATAGGCAACTGGATGTCAAAGTGACGGCGTAAGTTGGCGAAAGTCAAGCGAGTCTTTTGCTTCCGCGAGATTTCGTCAACCACTGGCTCATCGTGGTTAATCAACTTCCCAAATGAATAATGCCGTTGGCACGTTAAACAACTTACCAACTTACTTTTAATCGCTACACGACTGCAAATCAGTCCGGAAACAACTATTTGCATATTGGCGGTTATTGGTTGTTCTCCTTTAATACGCTGGTCCGTTGATGAGAATTGTAACGACCTCCTAATTGCATTTAAAAGTTGGACAACACCTGATATATCTTGGTTAATTTGTGAATGTCTTCACTTACACTTTTGACTAATCTGCTTGTTACAGGTTACATGGACGACGGAAACTATTCTAGGACTCATTCTTCTCAAAGAGGAACACCTGAATTGAATTTAGCACAGTGATCAGTTGTGAAATAGCATACCATCGGCAACCGGCGGTCAGGATTTAAAGCTGTCAGGAAGGGTACTTCACCACATAGTGAGATCCATATCGAACTAGGATGTGCCGCCCCTTAGTCAGAAAATCAGCATCAACATGCACAACAGTCCGATTTGCCACTTCTCATATCAAGATAGAGGCCACAAATACTAAGGATAGGGCCAAAATAAAGAAACACCGTACAGTATCAAAAGGGGAGCAAACGAGTAAACCTATAACAAAATGTGACATGAAGAATTAGGGAAAATAATGTATGTATCTGCCTCATCGATCGTTCCCAGAATCCTCAACCATCGATTCCTGTTGTCGCATGGATCCCAACCGAAAAGTCTATATTTCAATACACAGCCCAGACCAGCAGTCAAAGACTTCATGCACTGATGCCATGTTTAAGTCTGGCCACCTCTTACCTTTCCCAGCCTAACCCTACGTTAGCTAACATTGCTTGACGAGGTTGGTGATGACTATGCATGGGTAACATACGTCCCAGCCATCTGAATCGATGTAGGTTAACATCAGCACTAACCGACTTTCTTAGCCTCCATAAAACTATGCACCTGACTTTTCCATTACTGGCGTTCATTCTACTACACAGGTTGTGCTTCAGAGGTGACGGTGGTGGAACACTTGAAACAGTCTCATATCCTCCACCCTTATTGATCAAGTTCTAAATCCAAAGAGAACTAATGCGCAGCATACTTGGCTCTTAATAGGCAACCAGATATCACAGAAGCTCCGTGCAGAGATCTATTCGACCACTGGCCCATCGTGGTTAATCCGACTTCCCAAGTGTATGATGCGGTTAGCACGTTCAACAACTTACCTAATTATTTTTTTTAATCGCTACACGACTGCAGATCAGTCCTGAAACGACTATTTGTATTTCAGTGACAAGAAATCCACCCCCAAGCAATCTTAAATTACAACTCAAAGTGTCCAGTAGACTGTGAATTTTGTCATCATCTTCACCTGACAGGACTATGTCAGCTGCTTACTCTGGGTCTACTAAAGAGTCTTTTATGACCAAATGGATCTCCGTTAACTCAGACAGGGAGAGGGAGATCCCTATAGAGACGCTTGTCAAACGTCTGAATAGGAATGAGGAGAGTGACCAGCCTTGACGCACACCACTCGGCATACTGAATTCAGCTGACACCTTACCATAGGCTGTAAGAAGCACACGAGTTCTCTAACACAGACCCTTCGACAGGGTGATGTACTCATCTCGCACCACTTCCGGTAAGAAAATGCCAGAAAACGTGACGATCGATGTTGCTGAATGCCACTTTCAGGTGGAGAAATACAGTCATTTTTGAGTTCCTGTAGGTGTGCTTGTGTTGGTGAATCTTTTGGCGTGTGAGGATTTGACCGATACACATGACTAGGTCCGAAATGTTTCTGGCCTTGTTCTGATTTATGGTTCATGAGTTCCACTTAGAGGTCTGATAAATATTTTGATTATTATTATTAGCACCTTGGGTTCCTAATGGAACATAGGGCTTCAGTAGCACATCTCCAGTGACCTCTCTTCTCTGAAATCTTTTGAACCTGGT